ATTGTGATTCTTCGATGATTTCGGGAAACTAACCAACAACCTTCTCTGCTGTATTAGTGACACATAAAATTTTAAGGTTGTTGTAGTTCATTTACGTCGCACTAGAGCTGCACAATGGGCTATTAGCGACGGTCTGGGAAACATCCCTGAGGATGATCCGAAGACATGCCATCACAATTTTGATCCTCTTGCAGAGGAGATGACACGTCCGCTTCGGTAGCTCGACGACCTGCACGCGAAGTTGAGCACTTTACTGTAGAACAATTTAATGAGGACCAATACCTCACACCCTCGGTCCTTACGCAAACTGATCCAAGTGGTCACCCACCCGCACACTGACCGCAGCCAGTGATGCTTGACTTCGGTGATCTGCTGGGAACCGTGTCTTAACGATCAGTCCACTGCAGGACAATATTTTAAGGATAGTTTTAATGTTAGTCGCGTGTAAAATATACTAACGATGAAGCACTTCTTCTCTTGGAATGTGAGAAATGTCTGAAAGATTTTTTAAAGATTAGCTACATTTCTTGTCTTTAGCGAAATGCGATCGATGCAATGTCAAGGCTTCAACAAAAGCTATGCTCATGTTCAATTTGCAAACTAAACACAAGCGGAACACTCCTGAATACTATAATAGAGCCGTGGTGGGATAGAGCGTTCAGGATAGAGCAGGGAATAGAGCGTTCGCTTAACAATGAGGTGAACCAGGTTCAAATCCCAGCGATGGATGACCGATACGAATTCCGCTCCCGGCTCGCACCGGGAGCAGTGCTGGCCTAAGAATATCCTCCGTGGTAGACGGATCATGGGTTACAGTCCCTTTGCCGTTAGGCTAACCGTGGGAGGATTTAGTGGTTTTCCTCTCAATGTAACGCAAATGCGGGTTGGTTCCATTAAAAAGTCCTCCACGAAAGCAAATTTCTCTCAATACTTGATCCAGGAGTTCCCTTATCATCTGAATTGGGTTCAAAATTACAAGGCTACGGAATTGAACATTAGTAGTCGTAAACCTAAAATTGGATGGGTTGTTCAACTACGGTGATGAAATAAAATAAAATACTTTTATAAAACTGAGAACTTGACACTTAAATAGAGGAAATTCAAATGCAAAAGTATGGAAGTTAATGCAGAATGCAATTAAATGCAGAAGTATGGAAATAAAACGTACTCAAACTGCAGAAACTATCCCGACTCTGAACTAAGCCCGATACAAATTACTGCTGCTCAGCAGCTCTTTCTACGAAGACCTTCATGCCGACAACTGTCTCCAGACAGCCAAACCTGTGTGAACCACCCATGGTCACATACAAATTATCCATGAGCACAACACCAACCAACAAACGTACCGAAATGCCATAAAGAGAATCTTAGGTTTATTCCCCCAAAATCTATTTTAAAAAAAACTTCGCTGTCCCATCTTTTGAGAGCAAAACTTACTCATTTCAAGAGTGATTATTTGTCAGCGCCGAAAAGATATCACTGGGGAACAATTTTTTTTTTCTGTTGCGTAACAGTTTTGCACAGATCTTAGATACATTCCTATCGCAGATTTTAAATCTGCAATTGGTTTCTTTCTCCAAGCTAATGATTTTTAATGATATTTTTAGCCTATTTTTGAATTTTTTGTCGAAATGCACAAGTTTAAAAATCTTATGTATAGCAGAGGGTCGCATAAATGTTGTAGCAAAGTTCTAGGAGAGTTAAACATCAAAATAAAAACTGCATAAAAAGTCATTCAGGAACCATGCCGCCGTTAGGAGCGCTTCCTTATTTTGAACTGTTTCTTCGTTTGTCTTCTAAACTAGTAATAATAAGGAAACGTCCCTAGCTGCGCATGACTACATTTTGGGGGATGAGTTCCGATGCAATTTTAATCCTGATGTTGTATCCTAACTTCCCTAGAAGTACGTCGCAACATTTATGCAACCCCCTGTTATATAACGTTTTTAAACTTGCACATTTCGACAAAAAATAGACTAAAAGTGTAATTTTAAAAAACAATCAGTAGCTTCAGGAGCAAAACTGATATCATGTTTAAAGTTACCTCATCCGAATTAGTCAAGATCGAGTGTTTGTATAAATGCAGCAAACAATTTGTTCCTCTGTGTAATTATTCAGTTTCTATTTTAAAACGATTCCATCAACTAGTTTACTAACATAAAAAGTGCTAAGCATTATATTTTCGCACTTGCGAGATTATTCTTGAAAATGTACTGAAAAATATTTATCTTATTAAAAGGAATTAATTTTTTGATTGGTGGCAAAAAGTCTTCCTTTCATTTTATTTTATTATATTCTGTTTCTTTCAATTGTTTTTCCATTAGATTTTGTTTCATTCTATTCTAGTTCATTTTTTATCAGTTCATTCTTGTCTATTTTTGTCTAGTTTATTTAATTCTATTTTATTATAGTTTACTCTATTTGATTATATTATATTATACTAGCTGAATACCAGTTCTTCGTACTGAGTGAAAAAAATAAACATTAATTAATCAGTACTGAACAACACTGCATTTTCGTGAAACTACTGTTGTCGCTACTTTTTATTATAGTGAAGTGTTTTTATTGTTATTGTTATTTATTGGTATTGTTATTTTAGTACTGAATAACACTAAGTTTTCGTGACACACGTGGGTCTTTTTGGCAACGAACGTGCTGATCAGTTGGCAAAAGAAGGTACTTCCCTCCCAGCCTCTCCAAACACGGCCCTCACTTTTACTCTGAATTATTTTCTATACGCAAATCTAACGTTAATAAAGCTTGGCTTGTTCCACCGGATCACAATTGGTATCCCCGCNTAATAAAGCTTGGCTTGTTCCACCGGATCACAATTGGTATCCCCGCAAGCGTCCTGGAGGAGCCCTTGACCTTCACGGTACACGTGCCGACCAAACCGCCACCTGTAGAATTGTCAGTAAGCATACTAAGAGCCTCACTTTCAGTGGACAAATTAAACTTTTTCCAACTTATAAAAAGTGCAACTCCAGCAGGGCTAGTCCTCACCATTTACTTGATTGCCTGGATTTCACCATGAAAGAGATTCTTGAGAGACCTCTCCTTTTTCTCGATTTTTTGAAGACTCACGACCTCATGGATCTGGTTCAGCTCCGCTATCCCAGCTGGGATTGAAAACAACAAGTTTTCGTGAAACTACTGTAGTCACTACTTTTTATTGTAGTGAAGTGTTTTTATTGCTATTAATTAATCAGTACTGAACAACACTAAATTTTCGTGAAACTACTGCAGTCGTTACTTTCTATTGTAGTGAAGTGTTTTTATTGTAGTGTTTTTAAAAAGGTAGAGCAGTGGGTATAGTGCGATACAAAATAAAACAGTTGTAGAGATTCCTGACAACTTTTTTACGTTAGTTTAGTAAAGAAATAGAATTCTAACATAACTAATATTTAGAATTTAATGGATACACATCTTCGTGGGTTTGTCAATGGACGTAATTTAAAATGCTTCAGTGACTATGAGTTAACATGAATTGCATCTTTCGAGACACGTTATAACTAATATTTAAGCTAGCCATTTCGAATAATAGATAATTTATCACTTTGGCCACACTTTCACATGCAAATGTACATCCATGAAACACTGATGTTATTTTAAAGGAAGGAAATATATTTTTAATGCTCTAAATTTCTTAGGGGAAATAAAAAAGCACTTAACAAAATTGCTAATATTTGATAACAATTTTCTAGCAATTCTCAAACAAAATAGTCGTTGTCGAGAAACGCATAAAAAATTGAAGGTTTCGTAGCGTAACTACCATTATAAATATTGAATACTGATTCACTAGTATATAAGACATGCTAATTTGGTTCTGTCAAGAGGTACCTTTTGATAGATGAAGGTTGACATAGTCGATAATTAATTCCCCACATTGGTGACCCGGACGTGATATTCTGTAGTATTATTCTTAATCGATGATGAATCGATTAAGCAAGATGATTATAAATTATTTCTTATATGTTGGATGGCAACAGTCTGGATGAAAAATGGAACAGCTATGGTGAATAAAATATTTGCTAACCTTCTGAATAAGTCTCTCTTGTATTAAGGTGATAAAGCAACACTTCAAAGGGTGAAATGCTGTGAGCCTTGCCAGCGTTCTAAAATTCAAAGACACACCAAAGCTCCTCTAGGAACATTCAGTTTACCTGATACTCGATTTCAACAAATACACATCGACATTGGTGACCCGCGGACGGGATATGAACTAGCTAACATGATGGATGGTTCACATTAAACAGTTGATTTGCTTAATATAAACTGCTCCAAGAAAAACAAAAAAAGGATCTGGTGAAGTAAATAAAGTCTCCCGGTAATGAACAAAATAGAAAAAAAATTAGCGAAGTGCTATAAACAAAAAAAAGAAGAAGAAAAATATTATGAGCAAAAATGTTATAAATAAATAAACAGCATGAATCAACTAGTGGTATCCGTTCATTTAATTCTATCCGAGATAAAATTCTGGAAGGGGAGTAATGTGGCGTAACTTCCACTATAAATATTGAATACCGATTCACTAGTATATAAGACACTTTAACTTGATTCTGTTAAGAGGTACCTTTTGATAGATGAAGGCTGACATAGTCGATAATTAATTCCCCACAGTTTAATGAGAAAATTTAAAATAACAATGTTTTAGAATACAAACTGGCTCATGTAAACATGAATAACTATTTCTTAATAATTCCTCCTTTTTAATGTTAGCCATTTTTTTTTCAAAACCATTTTGAACGTGGTGTAAAGTAAGTTGTCCTGCGAAATTCGTCTCTTTAAAGTAGATAAGTAGCTACTACATTTTGATTGTAGTCACTACATTTAAAAAAAAGTCGTTGTAGTAGTAATGTAATAAAGTAGTTGTAGTTATAGTAAACGGCGAAAATAATGTAGTTTTTCAAACACAAGTTCGATGTTATGTTATGTTATGTTATGTTATGTTATGTTATGTTATGTTATGTTATGTTATAAGCCCGTTAAGCTATTCTAGATATAGTTCTATAATTTTTATTATATCTACATGAAATATTTATATCAATATTGTGAAAAAAAAACTCTAACGTAATTATAGTCACATTAAGAAAACTGAAACTGCTTGATATTTATCTCCAGACTTTTCTAGTAACCCTAAAAGAGCTAGCTATGATTAGATAAGTTTTTTTCATTGACGTAGAAAAAATAATAAACAAAAAGACATTTATTAAGGGAGTGGTGGGTGAGAGGGAACGGAATTTTGACCCACAGCTCATCTTGACTTTTTCGCTTCCTGCTCCTTAGCTTGCGAAACAAGGTCGTCGTCCTGATTCAACATTCTGCTGACGGACATCTTATTCAATGACAGGCATTTTAAGCAGATGTCATGTTGTTAATGCTGCCATTTTCTTTTTCTGAAATAAAATAAGAATGCTGAAGGAGAATCTGTAATAATTGGAATTATATCTAGCGTATCGTCTGCGGAAGACAGCAGACGATTTCAACCACAATATTATGGAAATTTTTCAGATGGAGTGATAGTTGAATGATTATAGGGTTTCAGTCACGTGATAAAAAACGTGTTTGACATTAAAATGGAAAACTAACAAAGTTTGCGTTTTGAAAACGCCACTATATCCAGGAAATGATTTATTCATTCCGTTGATACGAAATTGCTTGGTGCATACTATAAAGTCTAAAACTATTAAAAAATAATTGGCTAGCAAAAGCATGAATAAAAGTAAAAATATTAAATAAATAATGGGCTAGCAAAAGCATGGATAAAATAAAATAAACACATAAAGAGATAAATGAAAAAATAAAAGCAAGCGATAATTGGGTATAATATGAAAAAAGCACAGCTACTTCTACTTACTAGGAATAACATTTACCTTTTAGTTTAATTAATAAACTGAGTTTTAAATATGCTTACTAAATTCATAAACTTCGGTAAAATAACAATATAAATTATTTCCAAAGGAACTACACTAATACAATTCCAACCTGACGAGTAGCGACTTATAACAAGACACTTCGTTTGATGCTTTTACTTTTTGCTAGAAATCAGGTTCGCAGAAAATGCTGTTTACTAGTTAAATTTGGTAGGAATAACACGATCTGTGACATAGGCTATAGTATACCCAATTTTTAAGTCAAAATGAGACATTTTTAGAACAACAGAGTTGTTGGTTTTTTATAGATTCGTTTTGGAATTAGTGTTTTCTTATAACCAGTTGCGGGTTTTTCTAGTTTGTTTTGCAAGATTATAACTATCCCGTTACTAGTACTTCATATTTGTTACTGTTTGTGTTGTTTGTGAGTAAAATCTGTTTTTTTAATAAAAACAGAATTTTTATTTATATAGCGTGATACGTTACAACACATATATGAAAATTTTACATTATTGAATATTATACATTAAAAAATAGTATATATGTTGTATATATACAGTATAATAGTATATATACAGTGCGCATAAAAATATATCACCCTGAATAACTTTTGTTCTAATGACTGAAATTTCACGAACTGAATGCCAATCATAAGGGCTCAAAGAGCCTTTCTCAAATATGCTCATAAATAAGCGCAGACGATATTTCAAGTTACGATATCAGACGCAAAAACGAACTGTCTGTGAATAAGCATATCTTTTTTTTAACGGATTTGAATTTTTGACTATCAAAATACTGAGGGTAGCCGCAATCTGGAAAACAGTTTAGTCAGGAGAGCAGTTTGGCCGAACACCATATCTCAGAAAGCTTTTATTTTTGCTCACTCTCAAAAAATTCACTAATAATCGTGGCAAAATATCGTAAGATAATTTGCCACGATTCAGATAATCACGAAATCAGGTAAAAATTAATTTTTAATAATTACTTATTATTTCTTGTTATTTAATTTAAAGAATAAGAAATAGACAAAAAATTTGAATTTTAATGTATGCAAATGTTTACACCATTTCAAACTTTCTAATTTTTAATGACAAAATGCAACGTTTGAGCGAAATTATTCGAATAGTTTATCAGCAATAAAAAAATTTTTAAAAAAGCTTATTTTTATGTAGAAGATGTATCGCTAGACTCTATATCGAAGTTACACTAATAAGGTAAAGATATGATTGCACTTAAACTCAAACAATATATATGGGACAATAATTACTCTAAACTAAATGTTTACTTTTAGTGTAATGTAAATTTTAATTTAAGCACTTATGTTACACAGAATTTTTAACGATGTACGATTGGAGTAATACGAACTTCCATTTAAATGATTTGCATAACAAACTTCCCTTTATACTTGAAAAATATTTTAATCATAATAAGTTTTTAATCAAGAATATATTTGTCTCAATTTATTTTATCCATGAATAATCCAAAAAAAATTCTTTTTTATATATTTAAAACCGTCGTTGAACAGCTGACCTAATTTTGTGTTTACACTACTAATTTCAACTCCGTAGCCTTGTAACTAACCTAGTCCAGAAGACAAGATAACTCCTGGATCAAGTATTGGGAGAAATTTGCATTCGTGAGGACTTTTCGATGGAACTAACCCCTCATCTCCGTTACATGGAGAGAAAAACCACGAAAATCTCCAACAGTTAGGACTCAACCCCGGGATCCGTCTACCACTGAGGATATATTACGTCAGCACTGTTGTCTGTGCGAGCCGGGTGCGGAATTCGTATCGACCAGCCATCGCTGGGATTCGCACCCTCTTCACCTCATTGGATAGCGAATGCTCTTTCTCTGAGCCACCACTGCTCTCTAAAAGGGTATTCAAAAATTTGAAGTACTGATGTTCGAAACAATCATTTAAATCAAATTTGATCCGAACAAAATGCAAATTACTATTGCCCGTTGATATAATTAGGTTTTTAATAAGCGAGATACTTAGCTAAAGTGATGAAATGCTTTCATATATGCTTTGCAACAATTAATAAAAAATAATAAAAAAATCCCTCTAATAAATATATTCATTAAATCATTATTATTAAGATAATAATAATTAAATCATAATTTAAACATTACTATTTTTTACCACCAAATATTGTAAGTAAATATAATGATAATTAAATTAATATTTTATACATAACTATATTTTACCCGCGAATATTATACACAGAAATCAAAATCAAATAACAATTATGAAGCAAACAGGATATTAAAATAAATTAACGGATTATGAAACAAACAGGTTGTCAAAATTAATAAACGGGTACATAATCAGTGAATATCCTAATTATCAACTGTATAGTAATAACGTCATTTATTCAAACATCTTTTTGGAATTAAAAAATTGGTCGGTGTCATTAAATCACTTATACTATGTTTAATAACTTATTCTATGTTTATGACACAATAATGCCATTGAGTCCCTTTTTAGAGCAAGCTCTAAAAATTCATCGTAAGCTCACATTAATTAGCTTCCTGCTTAAATTGGCCATAAATTGTTTTTAAAAATTTCATGAACTAGCTGAATACCCGTGGAAGAAGTAAATAATCATTAAATCGGTATTAATCAACATTACGAAATCATCCACAAAAACAGAAAGAAATTTAACGACAAATATATAATTATATACCGCTAAAACAATTCCAATTTTTTATATAACTAATTGTTGCCCTTACCGGTGTCCTTAAATTATCAGATTAAGTAAAACGTTGTCTTCAGGAATTCTTCCCATCAAAATAAAAATTACTTGTATTCAGTATCAATTTGGCATAATACTATTGCTCGAAATCGAATTGTTGAATTGCTCAAAATTGTAAATCGAATTGTTGAATTGCTCGAATTGTTTAATTAAGTAAGTCATAAAAACCTATTTCCACAGAGACATCATAGTACTAATATTAGTATATTTAGTACTTATTAAAACACAACAATTAACGTAAATGCAGTAATGCATATTGCTAGAATTAATTAAGCATCATAGACGTCAGTAATAAGTAAAGCATTCCCGCTACCGCCAGTTTCGCAACAGCGTGTCATGGTTAAGGATCCCTTATTTTGTGACCAATGGCATGATTGTGGTAATGTGGTCAGCATTGCGAACAGGCCGTCTTTACTTTACAGGCGACAAGCTGATACCCATCGATCTCAAGCTGGGTGAACTTCAAGACGTCAGTGGGAATCAAACCCAGTTCCTCACTGTGACATTTCAGTGCATTAACCACTGCAGCATCGTGGCTCGGCGTCAATAATAATGAGACACTTTTTTGATGTTTTTTTTTTAAATAAATACGTACTTTTTCACCAGTTATTAGTTTTTTAGTACAAAATTGTTTTTTTTTTATTTTAATTTGTACCTATTACGAAAATTAAACAACATTGGCTCCCATAACAATATGGCAATTTTTTTACAATTTATATATTCGAATAAGTACCTTTTCTTCATTAATTTAGCTTTTCAATACAAAGCTTTTTTTTATTTCAATTTGTACCAATTACCAAAATCTATTAATTGTATTCCTGGAAATTAGTTGGTAACGATGCTAATATTTTTATAATTATTTTTGGCAAACTAAGGCAAACTAAGTTTTTATTTTTCAAAAGTAAAAAATTATTCTAAATAAATACTTAACGTATTCAACACTATTTAAATTTTTATTTCAGGCAATCTAACAAAATGAATAATAACTATGTTGCCATAAATCGAAAAATACCCGAGTTTATGGTACCGCATAAGAGAAACATAAATACATAGATTATTAGATGTTTATTTCTGTACGGCTTCATACAGTGAGATTTATCATAATCTGTCCAACTGAATAAAAGAAAGATTGACTTTACATGTAGTTTCAAATAAAATGTGGTATTCAGAATTTGCCATAATATTTGCATGCCTCAATTGCGATAATTTCATTTCTATTTCATTAGTTTTTGTTAAGTTTCCACAAATTAAATTTATACACACACTCTTTAAAGGCGCAAGTATCACAAATTGCTTCTAAACATCTAACTTTTTTTTAATGACCGCTATTTTTATACAGCATAGAACCCAAGATTTCATTTTTTAGAATTTAAAATCTGAGATCGCAGTAGCTCGTGTGCTTCCTGTCTATAACTTTTTATTAAAATTTGTTGCGCGGCAATGGTTTAAAAAAATCTCTGAGTCATTAATAAATTAAACATAGAATAAATTATATATAACAAAGAAAATAGAATAATTTTTTATGTTCAAAAGGTGCTTGAACATGTGATGCTACTCATATCATAAAGTTTAAATCCCTTAATAATCTTTAAAATATTATAAAATAGATTTGATTTTCCTATATTAAGGTAAATATATTATTTCGTGAAACATTTAACAATTTATTTTTATAATTTACTTTACTTTAATAGCTATTAATGCTGATTTATAAAATAAAATTTTCATTGAACTCATTACTGCAACTTAACTTATTTCTTCTGTTCTTAAATTTAACTATTGCAAGCATAAGAAAATTTTACATTTAAATAATAAAGCTCCTAAACTATGCTATTAGTTTTCATATTTCATATATTTATTTCATTAACTCTCAGAAAATATAATAAAGGAAATATATACTTAACTAAAATCGTAGAATTCTTTTTATTTAAACTTTGCAGTCAGACACAATATGAAAAGTAGCAAAACAAGCCTGATGAAAGACAAGAATAGTTTTGCAACACTCATATGCAATGAATGCATAATTTCTAGAAACTTTTACGATTTGAAAATTTTGAAATTTTTAATGCTTTCTCTTTTAATGATCATTAAAAATTTATAATGAGGAATTTCGAAAGCATAGTAAAACTTTATGTATGTCCATTAAATTCAAAACAGTTCGTTCAAATCCTCAGTAAATCTCTTCTGTTTATAAACCATAAAACAATGTGTTATATTTTAATACATTTTAATTTCGATCAGCTTGTATCGATACCATCTTTATTATTGCAACTACATTCCGGATATTACAGTGATAACAGTTTTATTACCTAGATATTCTTTTAATAATAAACAAGTATTCGGCGTATATTACTGTTCTTACATTTCCTGAGTGTTAAATTTCAAATTATGCAACAGATCATACAAAAGACATTCATATTAATCTATGTAAATAAAAATTAAGTTGGTTTGTGATAAGTTACTCATCGTTCTTAAAACGTACAGAATAATTTTAATTTTATGACCTTTCATTATATCTAGACGTCTCAAATCGGTCACCGATGCACACTTTTCCATTTGAACTAAAGTTCGACTACGAATCTAAGACTCACTTATGCTTTTACGGCCAATGAAAGTCTTATGATATCAAACTGAAAACCCTACTACGCACTAAACATCCAAAAGTTGTACTGTGGATGTTTTAAGACTGGTCTAAAGCATCACAAACATAAGGAATAATAGTTGTTTTTCATAATTTTGTGCAAATACTGACTAAAACGATTTTAGTAATAATGTGTAAATACAAATGAAAACGATTTCGAAAAATTTCATATCTATGCTTTTAATGTTCCAAAGTGATTACTAGATTTGAAATATACATTAAATATACATAATAAAATATACATAGTCCACATGAAATCCGACTAAGTTAATTTCAAATATACATAAAAATCTAATGTCGAAATGTCTTTTATTTAATGTAAACTTCATTCTTGTGGCACACGTCATTTGAAAACAGCCAATAGTATAGCTTTGTTTCCTTCACATAACGAAAATGGTTTCAAGATATGGAATGTTTGAATAATTGGTTAAAAGATTTTTCATTTATCAAACATTTATTGTAAACATCATAAATTTGTTTCATCAACAAATATGCCAAGCAAATAATCAGAAATAAATAAATATCAAATCCAGTGAAACTTGTAGTTAGGCAGTTTATTGAGTCACATATTTGGCATCAGATAGAGTTAAATTCTTGATCCTTTTTCTCAGATTTTTCAATGTCTCTAAATTTATAAGAGAGCTTAGGCATATTAGGATATATTTTGAAAAGATCCGAATTCCCGAGTTAAACCCACTGACGGTCGTAATTGTAAAAAGTCGTATTTTAACGTGCAGTCTTCTCAGCATAACAAAACCTGTTTTTCCATGGAATTAGATTGGTAAATAGTGTATGAGGGAGAAACATTCTCCCAGTTTTGCCCATTTTCTGAACCGCCAATGGATTTTAAAGAATACGTTCCATTCGGCTGTAAGTTCAGAACATTAATTTATTTTACAAATTCTTAATTCATCCTTCGTAATATTTTTCAACTTATTCCTCAGAATTCATAATTGTAGAGCTTAGAATAAAAACATTTCAATATATTTTGAGGATAGACAAATTTTCTGGTTTTAAGAACATGTTCCATCCGGCTGTTGATCTACAACACTAACGTGCTCTTTAAAATCGTAATTCATTTTTGGAAAAAATTGTCAACTAATTCCTCAAAATTGATCATTCAAGAGCTTAGATATAAAAAAAAAGACATGTTAAAATATTTTTTGAAAATACCTAAATTTCCTGGCTTTAAGAACATGCTCTATCAGGCTAAAAATATATAATAATAATGTATTCTTCAAAATAGTATCTCATTCTTTGAGACAATTTTTTCAATTAAATCTTCAGAATTGCTAATTGAAGAGCATAGATAACTCATAATTGGAGAAACTTCATAACTAATTCCTCAGAGTTGATAATTCAAAAATTTATATGGAAAACTTGTTACATCTTGAATTAAATTTCTAGATTTTTAAGAACATGTTCTGGTTAGCTGTAAGTATAGAGAAATAATTTATTCTGTCAGATCTTTAAGTAAGGTGGTTTTCAACCAAAAAAGAATAATAATGATTCGTAAGCAGCCAATGATTTTGCATTATTTAAAATGTTGACTTCTTACGCTTATAAATTTTAAGACAGGTTTTCTTTTATTCGTCGAAGTTTAACTTTTTTAAAAACACATTTCTTAAACATGCATACACTTCTTAAAAAATCTTGGACATGCTTTTCAGAAAACATTATTTATAAAAGATCGTTTCTGGATTAAGTGCACGTTAAAAAATTGCAGGAATTGTTACTGCAGTAAAAATTGTTACTATTACTAGAAACTCGTTGGAGAACTCATTTCTACTGCTGCTTAGGAGTTCGGCATAATTGCTGTATTCTACTAGGTAGCAAGTTTTAACAAATTTAAAAAGAATTAATTTAATTTGAGCATTTTTTTTACTGAAAATATTAAAGCAGATATTTCCTATAGGTATTTTATATTCTGCAAACAACAACAACAAAAATGTCTTTATGCACCACAAACTACAGGTACAATATTTAAAATTACAGTTAGCACAAATAGAACTTTGCAGCATTAGGTGTCAATTTTCGAAATGCCTCAATTGATTCAACTGTTTTTTATGATAGAAAAGCAAATAAAATAAATTCTAGCGTTTGAAATCCTAGTATCCTAAAATTTTAATATATGAAAAATTTATATTTTGAGAAAAGACTAAATCTCACCATAAATCTTATGTTTTAAAATTGAAAGCACAATATTTTGGATTACAGTTTTTAAAAAAACAGTATTCTATGTTTTAGACACCGCCTACAAAAGCCACTAACATAAAAACAAAATGATTTTATGACATAAAACATAAAAACAAGATGATTTTATGTATTTATTATTTGGTTACAAGCAAAATATTTATAAATAGTTATTTGGTCACAAATCAAACATTTTTTTATAAATTTTGTTATTTGTTCACAAATCAGGTATTTTTAACTAATCGTTTTAATTATTGTTGAATATTTTCTGTACACAAATTTTTATATAGCATCATAAGTAGTTCTTCAGACTAAAATACAAATTTAAAAGAAATTAATAAAAACTGCCTAAGAATTAAAAATTTATATCCAATTATTGTCTCTGATAAAATTGTAACTGTTCATTATTTTTTCTTAGGATTAATAATTGTTTTTAAAAAAATGTTTTTAAATTAAAATGTATAAAATGTTTTTAAATTAAAATGTATAAAATGTTTTTCTCCAGAACTATTTAGCACACAAAACTACAGCTGTTTATTCTGAAAGTTTATGAAAGATATAATTCTAATATTTTTTCTGTTATTAAAAACAAAACAAAAATGTTAATTAAGAATTCGGGAAAATTTTAATTACAGAAACTATATTTCTCGCTCGTGGCTAAACATTTAAACCCACAGTGTACCAAACTTCAGCTATTGCACTATTTTTAAGAAGTCTAATTAAAAAACTTAGAAAAATGATGAATAGTTTGAATAATTTAAAATCCAAAAATGAATCAATAATTTTAAGTTAAGAAATAAATATTATATAATAATTTAACGTTAACTTTATCACACAAATAATAACTATAACGCTTTTTTCCACATCTCAGAAAACAAGTCAAAATGCATGCATCTATCTTTATTACATGCATTTAGAAATATGAAGTTTAATAAAATTAAATTTAACAGTGTTAAATTGTGCAAACTATAAATACTATAGTTAAACGATCAAGTATTACATAGGTTTTTATTTTAAAAAAACATATGACCTCAAAAAATACACAAATTACCTTCAATTATTCCTAAGAAAATATCGAAATTCTCTCGTCGAGACAAAAAGCTGTTTAAACAAGACCGCGTCCAAATTAAAGTTGTTAAATTGATGAAAACAAAGGGTGAAGATTACCAATGGATATTTCGTCATATTTAATGTTTCTAAACATGACAGGTGATGAACATCACATGGTAGTCTACGTCAATAAACTATTGCTATATAAGATATATCAGAAAGCTGGAAATTCGCAATACATACTCTTTCCGATCTAGCAATGGTGTGGTTTCCTTCCATTGCCTTCTCAATAACCCTTTTGGGAGGGCTGGCTTCCCTTATCACAGGGGCTCCTTTGACATCTGCAAATGACGCTTCGCAGATAGTATTTAGCAATCCGCAAATAGCAAGGGAGTTTCTTCAGTGCCTTACGAGCAGCATCGGAGCTTCTCCAGACTTTCCCGCACAAGAGCAGTCAGAAATAGAAACAATTACGGAAGCCATACTTTCCACTGTATCAAATTCGAATGAACAATCAATTGAAACTAGGTCACGAGCTGCAAATATTGCGTTAGCTTCATCATTAGCTGGCTTGTTAGCGAGTGATTCAAATGGAATAGGCATAAGCAAACAGCTGTTTTCTCTGACGAATATACTTTCACAATGTTTCACTCAAACTACAGGATTACAAAGTCCAGAATTCGTGGATAATTTTCAAACACTTCTTCAAAGAATCTCTGGAGTTGATATTGGAACTTCTCTTTCACAGAGTCAACTAGCGGCACAAAATACAGCGTCATCTGGAGCTAGTCAGACTCAAATCCTACAAGCTTCTCAGTCCCAAGGCCAACAAGCTTCCCAATCCCAAGGTCAACAATCATCTCAATCGCAAGGCCAACAAGCATCTCAAGGTCAACAGGCTTCTCAATCTCGGGACCAGACAGCCTCTCAATCACAAAGTGGTTCTGCATCTTCCCAGTCAGCGATCGGTCAGTCAGGAAGTCAATCCGGAAGCTATGGCCTCAGTCAAGCTGCGAGTCAATCTTCAGCAGCTACTTCCAGCAGCAGCTTTTCTTCTGAAAGTGCGTCCGCATTTACACAGTCATCATCTTCTGCGTTGGCTTCATCGAGCTCGTTTTCTAATGCCTTTTCCTCTGCTTCTTCAACGTCTCAAATAGCACAAGTTGGTTATGAACTGGGCTTATCAACAGCTCAATCTCTTGGACTAAGTGATACGCAAGGCTTCGCCAATAGCCTTTCACAAGCGGTGCAGCAAGTTGGAGTTGGAGCAAGTTCATATGAATATGCAAATGCACTATCAAGTACAGTAGCTCAGATACTAGGAGGAAACGGCATTTTAAATACTTCTAATGCTTCGTCACTGGCTTCATCATTTGCTAGCGCTTTATCAGCATCTGCGCAATCTGCTTATTCATCAGCGTCTAGTTCTTCCGCAGCACAATCATCAGCTTTTGCTCAGAGTCAAGAAGCTGCATCCGCTTTTAGCAGAGCAGCATCTCAAGCTCAAAGTCAGCGAGAATCTCAGTCACAAAGTCAACAAGCATCTCAAGCACAAAGCCAACAAGGATCTCAAGCTCAAAGTCAACAAGCATCTGCATCCCAAGGCCAACAAGCTTCCCAATCCCAAGGTCAACAATCATCTCAATCGCAAGGCCAACAAGCATCTCAATCTCAAGGTCAACAGGCTGCTCAATCTCGGGGCCAGCAAGCCTCTCAATCTCAAAGTGGTTCTGCATCTTCCCAGTCAGCGATCGGTCAGTCAGGAAGTCAATCCGGAAGCTATGGCATCAGTCAAGCTGCGAGTCAATCAGCTAGTCAATCTTCAGCAGCTGCTTCCAGCAGCAGCTTTTCTTCTGAAAGTGCGTCCGCATTTACACAGTCATCTTCCTCTGTGTTGGCTTCATCGAGCTCGTTTTCTAATGCCTTTTCCTCTGCTTCTTCAACGTCTCAAATAGCACAAGTTGGTTATGAACTGGGCTTATCAACAGCTCAATCTCTTGGACTAAGTGATACGCAAGGCTTCGCCAATAGCCTTTCACAAGCGGTGCAGCAAGTTGGAGTTGGAGCAAGTTCATATGAATATGCAAATGCACTATCAAGTACAGTAGCTCAGATACTAGGAGGAAACGGCATTTTAAATACTTCTAATGCTTCGTCACTGGCTTCATCATTTGCTAGCGCTTTATCAGCATCTGCGCAATCTGCTTATTCATCAGCGTCTAGTTCTTCCGCAGCACAATCATCAGCTTTTGCTCAGAGTCAAGAAGCTGCATCCGCTTTTAGCAGAGCAGCATCTCAAGCTCAAAGTCAGCGAGAATCTCAGTCACAAAGTCAACAAGCATCTCAAGCACAAAGCCAACAAGGATCTCAAGCTCAAAGTCAACAAGCATCTGCATCCCAAGGCCAACAAGCTTCCCAATCCCAAGGTCAACAATCATCTCAATCGCAAGGCCAACAAGCATCTCAATCTCAAGGTCAACAGGCTGCTCAATCTCGGGGCCAGCAAGCCTCTCAATCTCAAAGTGGTTCTGCATCTTCCCAGTCAGCGATCGGTCAGTCAGGAAGTCAATCCGGAAGCTATGGCATCAGTCAAGCTGCGAGTCAATCAGCTAGTCAATCTTCAGCAGCTGCTTCCAGCAGCAGCTTTTCTTCTGAAAGTGCGTCCGCATTTACACAGTCATCTTCCTCTGTGTTGGCTTCATCGAGCTCGTTTTCTAATGCCTTTTCCTCTGCTTCTTCAACGTCTCAAATAGCACAAGTTGGTTATGAACTGGGCTTATCAACAGCTCAATCTCTTGGACTAAGTGATACGCAAGGCTTCGCCAATAGCCTTTCACAAGCGGTGCAGCAAGTTGGAGTTGGAGCAAGTTCATATGAATATGCAAATGCACTATCAAGTACAGTAGCTCAGATACTAGGAGGAAACGGCATTTTAAATACTTCTAATGCTTCGTCACTGGCTTCATCATTTGCTAGCGCTTTATCAGCATCTGCGCAATCTGCTTATTCATCAGCGTCTAGTTCTTCCGCAGCACAATCATCAGCTTTTGCTCAGAGTCAAGAAGCTGCATCCGCTTTTAGCAGAGCAGCATCTCAAGCTCAAAGTCAGCGAGAATCTCAGTCACAAAGTCAACAAGCATCTCAAGCACAAAGCCAACAAGTATCTCAAGCTCAAAGTCAACAAGCATCTGCATCTCAAGGCCAACAAGCTTCCCAATCCCAAGGCCAACAAGCATCCCAATCTCAAGTCCAACAAGCTTCCCAATCTCAGGGACAACAAGCTACTCGTTCTCAAGGACAGCAAACTTCCCAATCCCTAGGTCAACAATCATCTCAATCGCAAGGCCAACAAGCATCTCAATCTCAAGGTCAGCAGGCTTCTCAATCTCGGGGCCAGCAAGCTTCTCAATCACAAAGTGGTTCTGCATCTTCCCAGTCAGCGATCGGTCAGTCAGGAAGTCAATCCGGAAGCTATGGCATCAGACAAGCTGCGAGTCAATCAGCTAGTCAATCTTCAGAAGCTGCTTCTAGCAGCAGCTTTTCTTCTGAAAGTGCGTCCACATTTACACAGTCATCATCGTCTGTGCTGGCTTCATCGAGCTCGTTTTCTAATGCCTTTTCCTCTGCATCTTCAACATCTCAAGTAGCACAAGTTGGTTATGAACTGGGCTTATCAACTGCTCGATCTCTTGGAATAAGTGATACGCAAGGCTTCGCCAATAGTCTTTCACAAGCGGTGCAGCAAGTTGGAGTTGGAGCAAGTTCATATGAATATGCAAATGCAGTATCAAGTACAGTAGCTCAGATACTAGGAGGAAACGGCATTTTAAATACTTCTAATGCTTCGTCACTGGCTTCATCATTTGCTAGCGCTTTATCAGCATCTGCGCAATCTGCTTATTCCTCAGCGTCTAGTTCTTCTGCAGCACAATCATCAGCTTTTGCGCAGAGTCAAGAAGCTGCATCTGCTTTTAGTAGAGCAGCATCTCAGGCTCAAAGTCAACGAGAATCTCAGTCACAAAGTCGACAAGCATCTCAAGCACAAAGCCAACAAGGATCTCAAGCTCAAAGGCAACAACCATCTGCATCCCAAGGCCAACAAGCTTCCCAATCCCAAGGCCAACAAGCATCCCAATCTCAAGGCCAACAAGCTTCCCAATCCCAAGGCCAACACGCATCCCAATCTCAAGGCCAACAAGCTTCCCAATCCCAGGGACAACAAGCTACTCGATCTCAAGGACAACAAGCTTCCCAATCCAAAGGTCAACAATTATCTCAATCGCAAGGCCAACAGGCTTCTCAATCTCGGGGCCAGCAAGCATCTCAATCACAAAGTGGCTCTGCATCTTCCCAGTTAGCGATTGGTCAGTCTGGAAGTCAATCCGGAAGCTATAGCAGAAGTCAATCTGGAAGTCAAGCTTTGAGTCAATCAGCTAGTCAATTTTCAGAAGCTGCTTCAAGCAGCAGCTTTTCTTCAGAAAGTGCATCCGAATTTGCTCAAACTTCATCATCAGCTTTAGCATCTTCAAGCGCTTTTTCCAACGCATTTTCGTCGGCATCGTCGTTATCTGAAGTTGCTGAAGTAGGATATGATTTGGGTTTATCAACTGCTCAATCTCTTGGAATATCTGATTCACAAGGATTTGCAAATAGTCTTTCGCATTCCGTTCAGCAAATTGGAGTAGGTGCAAGCTCATATGATTATGCCAATGCTATATCTAGTACAATCGCCCAAGTTTTGAACCAAAATGGTGTATTGTCTTCATCAAACGCTCAATCACTTGCTTCTGTTTTCCAAAGAGCTTTATCCTCAAGTGCATCTAGTTTAAGATCTAGCTCTTCCACTGTGCAAAGTTCAGTTTCAACCCCAAGTGCATATTCTGCTCAATCACCTTATACTTCAATATCTTCAACAAACCAACAAGGACCCTCTGTGAGCTCGCAGGAATTATCCTCTACTCTTTCACCAATTGTGTCCTCTCAAGGACTCGGATCTGCGAGCGCAACTTCAAGAGTAAATAACATTGAACAAAACTTAGCTTCTGTCATAAAATCCTCTGGATCTACAGCTCTGGACATAAGGGATGCTCTTCAAGACGTTGACTATATTTCATCTTTGATACAGAGTGAGAGACCGGAATTGAGTTCCTCGCAAGTTTTGACTGAATCTTTGCTCGAATACACGTCCGCACTTTTACAACTTCTTCAAAAATCAACCATTACAAATGTGAACGTATCGAATGGACCTCCAGTGAATGTAGAGCTAGCGAGATATCTTTCTCAATCTTAGGTGCCAACATGCTCGACTAAGATTTTAATGCTTTTTACTGCTGTGCTTATTTACTTTATACTTACTTTTTGCCTTGGTCTAAGATTTGAATAAACCACTTATAAATTGATGGATTTTTCTTTTCTCTTTTAATAAAGGAACTAACCATATTTTTCTTTTCCTTTTTTTAGTTAGTAATTAAAGTTTGTTGATTTTATTTAGATGCCAGACATTTTGCTACTAAAAATTCATGTTGCTTTCGAATATATCTGAACAGTAAAATTAAATAAGTTAGTGCTGTATTTTCGTGAATATGCTTATTTTTCGTAATTTGTTCGGAATCATGCAAAGTAGGGAGAGTTGAAAATAAAAATGGTATGCACTTCTCTATATAAGAGCATAATTTTCATTGCCTGTAATTTTTCAGAAAAATTTATCTTTTAAAGCTGTTATGTTACTTTGAAATGCCATGATTAAAGCTTTCAGAAAAAATTATTTATATTAATGCAAAATTTGTAAAGGCTTTAATTTACAGGATTAGACACTTTTTGAAGAATCATATATAAGTAAATTATTGTTCATAAAAATAATTTTAAAATTACTCATATTCAAAAAGATATCAACAACTTCTCCCTCAAATGACAGTTCTCACAAACTTTGCCTTAACATTAAAAATGCAATTTCCTAAAAACTTTAATTTCATCTTAACACGTAGAATGCCATGGGGTCACCGGTGACTGGCACTGAGTTTGTTCGTAGCGCCACGGGGGTAACCGGTGACCGGCGAAGCCAATAAGATTATTAGAAACACATAATTCGAGTAAATTTTTAAAGCTTTTAATTTTTTTATATTATTATCGTTCCTCAAATGGTTTGAAGAAATTAATGCAATATAGAACACGTAAAAATCATTTTATCTGGACGGGCAAGCCATGTAAAATTAGCGTGTTCAACGAGTTAAAATGTCTTAGCTATTAGGAAGTACAAAATCTTCCAGTGAAATTATAGAGATTGGAATTCCTAATCTGATAAGAGTACGATGCATACGAATAGCATAGCTATTATTAAGCTAATTCTAAATTATGATATCAACTACTTTTTGTGACTTACAGTTTTACTTTATGCTAACGTGGGTCATTTCTTCCATGGGAACTAAAGATTTTATAGGGTTTATATCAAATTCATAATCAACTGGGATGACGAAACGTTTCGATTTCTGATTGTAAAAAAAATTATAAGATACTTAAATGCTTTAAATTAATCAATTTTCGGAATTTGTGCTTAAAAATAATTTGGATTTTTTGCTCTGCAATGTAATAAACATTATTTTGTCATTTATAAAAATGCTTCTTTAGAACAGTGAAACAGATGTTTGACACCTAATATAATATTTGTGTTTATTCTGTTTTATATATTTTATAACAAATCTCTTCTTTTTCTATGATCTAAACATTTAATTTAATCCTTTCAACGCAAATGATTTTAAATTGTTATCGAATTTTTAACCTCAATTTTTAAACAAAATAAATTTCAACAATCTACCCATCGAATTATTTCTTAAGTAACAAAATCATTTAAAAAAAAAACAATAGATGACACCTGATTTTTTTCATACTGTGCCACGGAAAAATTATCTTTTGATCGAGATTATAGAAAAAACATGCATATTTGCCTTAACTTTGTTCCAAATCTAAACAAGCACAGGTTTTGAAGTGTGCTTGTTCCTGACATGTTTACGAACAAGTAGAGCTTACTACGGAGCAGATACCGGTTGGAAAAAAAAAAATTTTTTTTTTGCCTTATAAGATCAAAAAATGTTAAGGCAAATACTCATATGGAAAACAAAACAGCTAGAAGTCTTAGTCCATCACGCCTTATTCGTTGATAATTTTTCACTGTGATTCAACAAAACCTGCTCTGCTACGTTAGTGAGATAAGTTATTTTAATTTTGACGTGAAAAAATTTTGAGAATATTGGTCAGCTAAATTTTTTTTGATCAGTAGATAAAATTAAATTTAAAATAAATTGAAAACTAAGAAACATTTGCCTTGTTTCAAGATTTTCAAAAAAAATTTCACTTTTATGTGACTTTAAAATTATATTTTATGTATTTCCTTAAAATAATAATATTAAAATATCTTTCATTTTTGAAAGACTGAGCTCATTAAAATCATAAATTCAACTTTTCAAAATTTCACTACACCCTTTTGCATATCTGCAAAGTTAAGTTTTGATTGTATTTTCTCTGTGGCCTTCTATAATTCAACACTAAAAACTGGTATAATTGATTTGGTGTTCATTATTGCAATATGAAGCTTAGTTCATTTAATCAACAAAAATTGAATAAAAACTGAAATATATGAAATATATTTCAGTTTTTATTCAATTTTTGTTGATTTTGTGTTTATTNGTGGCCTTCTATAATTCAACACTAAAAACTGGTATAATTGATTTGGTGTTCATTATTGCAATATGAAGCTTAGTTCATTTAATTTCATATACGAGTATTTCAGTTTTTATTCAATTTTTGTTGATTTTGTGTTTATTATTGCACGAGTTTATACAGTTAAACGAATAATTAAACGAGTTTATACGATGTACGAATATAAATATAGAATGAATGGATAGTTGATTGAATGTCAACAATAACAATCTTCCTGCAGCCGGAAGAAATTTAGAAAACATCCAGTGAATCCCTCTGCTTATGTTAAGCTTACGAGATGATGTGTGAAGAGGCTTAATATTCTAAGAAGCCCGTAATTTGCCCGTAATTTTACCGTTCATAAGAATTTTCTGTAATTTTCAAATTCTAGCAGATCGTGAGCCAAAAACAAATTGAAGAAAATTAATATCAGAACATAAATAAAGTGTAAGGTTTGCCATTTTTTGAGCGCTATGCCTTATTGGTTATATTACTGTATAATATTGCAGTTTTTTTTTCTTTTTTTTTTATATAGCATATTTTCCTTGCGAAGTCTTCCGAACTCATTTGTTGTTTGTTTTAGTGAAATTTAAATTGAAAGAACGCGTTATGTAGTAATCACTACAGGTATAATAATATTGGATGGCACGGTTTTTAAAGCTAGCTTAGGAGCAAAAATCAATCGAAAGTAGTATCCCGGAAATCTTACAACGAATTTTAACCCCTAGCGCCATCTGTGCTTCGCTTTACACGATAAACCATCCATGGGGTACTTCCCCAATCTATCTTAAAAGCGTGATCCAGGTTACGGATGTAAGATCTCTCTATAAATATAAATAAAAGGTTTTCCTGCAGAAAAAGAGAAACAGTTAAATTTATTTTATGAATCTACAAACTTTGATTGTATCATTAACGATAATTATGTGCACTATACCTTGGTTATAAAATCATCAGAATTTGCAATATAGGAGCAATAAATTACGATACAAAAACCAATCACACAAAACTTTCCCGGACAATACGGCTTCCATAATTGAGCAGTTACAGGTTGGGCTACTTCTACGCATTTCTGTTAGATGACAATACCTCTTTGACATCAAAAATCATAGAAATTCATTCCACCCTTTACCCCGTGGTGTTCCACATTTTCGAATTTTCAAATAGTACATATTTTCAAATATCATACTTATAAAACTTAAATAGTATCCAAAAACTATTTTAACGAGTTATTTTTTACTTGACATTTCAAAAATGCCTTGTTTCTCTTTGTATATTATAATTGCAATTTGTATATGTTTATTTGTACAAACTAGTTTAATATCAGTCTATACTATTCTAATAAAGATATAGTCAAATCTTCTTCACTAATGGAAATCTATAACGCTCACTAAATTATAAATTTTTTTGTTCTAACTTGATTTTTAAATTTATATTCAACAATCAATTGCTTTTCTATCTTGTTGGGAAAAAAATTTTAAATTATTCCTTATTTTATTTCTTAAATATAATTAAACAATTCTGTTTGTATATTTATTTGGTAAGAATTTTCTAAAAAAATTTTAATTTGGAAATATTAATAATTAAAAAACGGGGATGCAACAACAATGAATAACACTTCCTAAAAAAATTAAAATACATTTGATAAGAATTTAAGAAATAAATCTTAAACAAATTATCTTTAAATTAGAAAACAACAAAAAAGAGATGTACAATCATTTGATACTCTATTGTAGCGACACCTAGCTATTTATTGAATCAATTTAAAGGGAAGAGGGACTAATCCCATAGTGTCCTTAACCGTAACGTTAATGCTTAATCTACCGGAGTGTCTATTGCACCGATTATCGGCGCAGTAAAATTCATTTTGCTATCTTACCGATCAAATTTTTAACCAATCATAGAGAGTATCTGTCCACGTGACTCTCCGATTTTTTTTTCAAAAATAATTTAGCTCTGTTTATAGTAGTCAAGGCAGCTACAATTTTTGTAACATCTTGATTTTCTTCATATGAAGAATAACAAATAGCCATTCATGAATTTGAAAAAGAAAAAAGGACGATCTTCTGGAAGAGAGAAGCGAAAACTTTACAAAATGCTTCAAAGAAATTTAAAAAATTTGATAAGGCTCCGCTGGAATTGAAATACACATGGTGGAAGAATTCATTAAAAAAAATGTACAGATAACAGTCGCCAATCCAAGTAAGTAAATTTTGTATTGTTTAATTAATTTTTAAAATGTGTTATTTAAAATGAATTATTTAAAATGTGTTAATTGATTAGCAACATCGTTCCTGATGTCACCATGTCAATAGTCACTATACACCTTGTAAAGAACAATTTAACACACTTGTTTTATATGTTCTCTGACCTGCTATCTATTATTTTATATTGTGTCTGCAAGCCCTTATAGAGTTTAGTTTATACATTTTTTATACGTAGTTTGTTTAAAAAAAAAATTTTTTTCCAGAACCTTTACTCAAAATTGTCCAGCTGCTGTCTCCAGATAAACAATTTTTGCAGATAAAATCAATGAATGAGGATCATGACCATGTCCTCTCCGAATCTTTGTTCCGTTCTTCGCCTAAAGAAAGCCTGATACCTGTTGAGCACCAAGAGAAAGTTCAAAAATATGTGAATCTCCAAGTATCTATATTTCTGTTCCATTTCATATAGGTAAAAATTTTTCCTACATTTACTCTAATTATCTCCATTTTCTATCATAATATTGTTTGTATAGTTAAGAAATTATTTTGTTACTCAGAGTGATTTACACTGACTTACGTGTGAATATTATAATATCTATTTGAACTTATTGTTGTTGCTCAAACTGTTGTTAATGGAGATTTCTGTATCGTGATCTGCGGCAGAGTAATCGCAAAGTCCAGGAAACTTCCGGGCAGTGACCCGCGAGAAACTAAAAGAAATGTCATAGAAAGGGACTGACTCGTAAGGTATAACTTGTAGTTACC